CGCGAGTACGCTTCTAATGTGTGTGTGTATATATATATATATATATATATATATATATATAATTTAGAGATTTTTCCGTCCTTTTTTTTTTCTATTCTTTATAGGAGAATTTAACATAGTTGTTGAAACAAAAAATTTTAAAATCTTAATTTTTTTTACACTAACGTAGATGTTACAAAAGTCTTAATATCAACAAACTGAAAATCTCTAAAAATGATTTTTAAGTAAGAGAAATTGCTTTTTTATTCTGTTCTTTTTACTAATGAAGTCAACTTTATTATAATTTGATTTATTTGGATTTCATTGGGATATTAAATCTATATATCAATATTTTAATAATATTATTACAAAAATGTTCCTGAATTATTATTTTAAATGATTTTATTTAATAACTAAATAGTGGTAACCATTTAAGAACTATTATATCTAATCATATCCACTAATTCAAATATTTTATTAAGAATATCGAGAATTATTAAGGTGTTGTTTATTTGCGGTTTAATTAGGTTTATTAGTCTATCTGGCTTATTCACACAACTCATTTGGGTTGTTTACTTACGGCTTATTCATAGAACATGGTTTAATTGCACATATAGAAATGATGTGTTGTCCCCATTCAGCCACAAAAATGACACCCCTACTCATTATTTCAAGCACCGCCTCCTTCCCATATGAGACACCCCATCTTCGGCCTCTTTATGATTTTTTGTTTTGATGTTCAAATAATTAATAGTGGAGGGTAAATCGGTCATTTATGTTATTCAGACTGTTGGTTCAGATAAAAAAAGTAAACAACATCATCCATTTATCCAGACAAACAAATTTATTCGAACAGACAAATTTATCCATACAAGACTTAATAAAAAATTTGGTAAACAACTTCTAGGGTTGGTTTGGTAATTAAACAATTATAAATTTAAAAATAACAATTTATAACCTCTAATTAGTTTTCATATGGATGGCTTTATTTACCTTTTCAAACTATCAATAGTTATCTTCAGTAATTTAATGATAATAAATCATTTTTAAACATAATCAAACACCTACTATTGAATCCATTTTTAGGCATTGAATAAATTCTTGTTAATGAACGTCCAACATGCAAAATAAAAAATCCTCTGCAGATTATGAGTAATGTTTGTGCTTGAACGAAGGCCATGCACAATATGAATCCCATTACCATGTTGAATGTTTGTGAAAGAAAGCAATCAGCACAGGGTTAAGTGAGTGATCATAACGTGTCTTATATACGTCAAAATCAACGTCTCCGTTGTGTACGTATTACTTATGGCATAATTAAAATATGAGTGCATCGTGAAACTATCACATTCTTAAGGGGCATTTGGTTTACTGAATGAAATTTGATGGAATTGAAATCCATCAGAGGATTTGACTTTCAAGGGATTAGAATGGAATTTGACCACACATTTGATTGAAAGGAATTAGAATGAAATCTCGCAAAAGAATACAAATATGCATTTATCAGGGGTGGGGTGACGGTTGGCGACAATAGTGGTGTGGTGGTGTTTGGGGTGGGTAGGTGGGTGGGGTGGGGTTGGGTGCGGTGGGTGGTGGCTATGATGGCAAAAAATAGTGGCATGGTGGTGATGATACAGGTGGGATGGTGGGTGGGTGTGGGGGTGGCGGTGGTGGAATGATAATATTAGTTGATGGTGGTGGCGGAAACGGTGGTGGTGGAAACGGTGGCGGTGGTGGTGGAGTATATGTTTTCGATGGGATGGGTAAGGCAGGGCAAGGCGGGGAAGGATGGTGGTTAAATTGGATGCAAAGGTTATCTTTGTCATTCTTATAAATTATGTTACATTTGCCACGAAATATAATTCAAATCCTTCACATATGCTAAGGAATGATCAAATCCCTCAACCGTGGAATTTGGTGGAATCCAATCAATTCATTCCACGAACCAAACATCATTAAGGAATTTATCATTCCAATTTTATCAAATTCCTTTGAATTTCGCAAACCAAACAGCCCCTTAATGTTTCATGATGTGAATGATGTCGTCAAGGTTATGTGTTTCAATTATACACATTGTAAATCATGTGCCCCTTTATTGTTATATGAATAGGCGAAGCTACAAAGATACACATAGTGAATTGTGTGATCATAGTTGTACCCAGGTTCCATTTTTGGGTAAATAAATGAAGTTGAAAGGTGGAGTTGAAAAGATGTCTCAATTACGAGGACTAATTATGAAAATTCATGTCTAAAGGGGAGAGGGTCTCCATTATTTCTCTCATTTCAATCGGTGGAAGCAAAGTGTGTGTGTGTGTGTGATCGCTAGAAAGGAAAAGGGTGCAGAGAAGGAGTCAATTGAAGGTTTGAAGAAGATCAAGATATTTAAGCCTCTATTCCTAGTAAGATCATCATGCTTCAATGTCTCCTCCTTTTACGTTGAGATCTAATTTGAGGCTAGCGTTCTACAGGGCCGACGTCGTCGCCTAGGGCATCATCAGCCCAAGGGGAATCATCCTAGCCTAGTCTGCTATATTATAGTCCTCTCCTTGGCTCCAGCCTCGCCTTGTCGGTCCAGATCCAATCTCCCCTGATCGACAATCCTTAATTGACGGCTAATCTCCAAACTCCAGTCTGAGTGTCCGACATCCATCCTCGTCTTCCTCTTCCCTCTCGGCTCCCGTCCGTCTTCGGTCTTCCCCTTCCCTAATCGGCGCTCCCTCTCAGTCTCAGGTAGTCTTCGGTCTTCCCCTTCCCTAATTGGAACTTTGAATTGAAATATTTATGGTTGAGTGATTGTCTTTTGCGAAGTAATAGGCTAACCAATAACCTCTAGAACCTACTATTTCTCGATGTAAAACCATATTGCTAGAATGGTAGTTAATTCAAGATAATACTTCAAAATGGTCCTGTCGCCCTAATTTTTCTCCCTATGGAACTGATTAGAAAACAAAGTATTAGCTTATGGTTCATGGTTGGTTTCTAGAATTCTTGTTGTTTAACAGAAGTCAAGGGACTAAAAGATTATGAAACAGGTTGCATCATGTTCAATTGTTCATGTAAGTGTGAAAATTGAAATTAACCTTATGGAATGTGAGTCCATTTGTGAGTGTGAAACTAAATGGATCATGAAAGAACAAGTGAAACAAATTGCATCATGTTCCAGTAAGTATAAAATGAAACAGGGTGCAAAATTGCATCATGTAGTGATGAAATATTATATCAGAAACTGATTACAGTTTATGTACACTTATAACATCTACTAATATAGTTTAGCCACTTTTATGCTATTAATAATGATCTTACTATCTTAGTATAATAGTATCTTACATCTGTCCATAACCTGTAAGTTCTATGAGCACCAAAAGTAAGTTTTTAGCAAAGGTTGGCTATGATAGATTAATTGAAGATTTTGCTTCACGAAGTGCACGAAGACACGTAGAGGAATAGGTAATCTTATATTTGTTTTATTGTTCGCGGTTTTGGTTTATGTCCCTCCGTTATAACTTTATTTTTTCCAATAAAACAGGCATGGAGATGAGCCTCCTAACTTGACTAGGTTCCAAACCCCTTAAAAATTTGTGTCTTCTTGAGTTTTTGGTTCATTGGAGTAGGAGCATATTTTTGGCTCTCCGCCTAGGGCATCCAAAACCATTGGACCGACCCTGGTATTCTATAATATTTTTGGATGATTTTATTGTCAGAAATCCTATTGGTCCCAGTCGGATCTACAAGAGTTTATAGGTAACACTTTGTAGAAGGGGGGGTGAATACTGTTGGGGCAAAATGTTCCCTGTGCTTAAAATGTTTTAATATGCTTTGTATTGTAGTTTCCTTTTATAGAATGTTAGTTTGTCTTTGCTGTTTTTAGTAATAGGTATAAACAGTTTGTGGTTAGTTTTGTTAGTTAGTGGTTAACACTTTGACAATCAGATTCATACGCATTGTGAGATTGAGAGAGATTGATTGTATCAAGAACTTGTACTTACTATTTGACATAATCAAGCTTGTCGACATATTGAAATGATTCGATGTTCTTGATCTTTGTATGAATTGATTGTTATGACTTGAATCTGAGATCACAATTTGTATCAGAACATAATCAGAATTGACAGGATTGGATTTGGATTTCGATTTATTGTTGGATTTGTGATTTTCTAAGTTTGAAAGTTTTAGCTACTGTTCTTGGACATTTTTGTTTAATTCGAGCTATATTGATATGTTTTTGTTGCAATTATTGTGTTCAATTTGTTTCTGCATCTATTGCGAACTGATCTGTATTGATTAATTGCATCAAATTGCAATTTTTGGCAAATTTTGATTGATTTTTGAATTCTGGACTTAAGACTTTTGCTCACTGGACGTTGAATGTTCATCATCCAATAAGAGCTTACTCATCAGACGTTGAATTTGAGTGTGAAAGTGTTATTTTCATCGGTCATTTTTTGAATTTTGACTGGATTAGTCTTGTCCGGATACCTTGTTTCATTGGTCAAAGAGCTGTCCGAAGACCATCTTCATTGCTTGTTTTTAAGTGATATCATTTTTCATCGCTCATTCACTTGTCCAGATACCTTGTTCATCAATTATGATTGTGTTCGGATACCTTCGTTTTATTGCATAAATGTTCAAAGTACTCTCATCGGACACTTCATTGTCCGGATAAAGTCTCTCATTAGACACCTTTTTTTCCGGTGAAGTGTGTATTTTTTGTTGTCTAGTGAAGTGCTTTAAGATTGTCTGATAAGCAAAATCCTTTGTTATCCGGTCACCTCTTTGTCCAGTGAAGATATTTTTTCTAAGAGGAAGTGGGACCACCGTGCTAAGTCGTAAGATGGGGTTATTATTCTTGAAGTTTTCAATCCAGTCCTAGTTATGTTCTGAAAAAGATCATTTCAAGTCTATATTTTAAAAATGTCAAAGGTTTCTCAAAACATGGATTCTAGATTTGAGTTACTCATGTCATTTTATTATGAGATTGAATCCTTGAATTTTGAAGATTTAAAGAAAAGGACTGTGGTTGAAAGATCTCTAATGCTAAATTTTCAAATTGAAAGTGCAGGTTATAAGAGCTTAAGTGAATGTTTGAAAATAGAGAAAGAAAAGCGTAAAAAGGAAAAAGATCATCTTATATCTAATCTTCAAGATAAAATCATCACTTTGAAAAGTAGTTTGAATAAATCAGAGGGTGAGAGAGTTAACATCCAATTAAAATTTGATATGATTTTTGAAGAAAGAGGTCATTTATATGATAAAATTAAACAGTTGGAAGATCTAAATTTCAGAAGAGGTCAATTTGAGCAGATTCTGAAAAATTTAACGCATAAACCCAAAGATACACGATTTTGTAATCCTCGGATGGATTTAGGTTTTATTGAGTCTAATGTTCTAAAAAAGGCCCCAAAATCCTTATATGATTTTAATGAAAGGGGGTTAGCGAAATTCTCAATTTGTTATGTTCAAGAAATTTTATTAAGTGTGAATCTATATCTTCAAAATGTGTTTTGCACAAATCAGATAAAAAAAGTTTTGAAACACCAAATTTCAAAACTGTGGGATTAAAATATGATGATCTAAACTTTAGTTACGCAACTAGAAAACTCGAATTTTCTCATTCTGATTTTGATACATTTTATCCCACAAAAAATTCTAACTTTTCTTCAAAATATGTTTCACAAAATGAAGAATCTTCTAAGTCTGATATTTTTGTAAAAGTGCTTTATGACTCAGAATCTGATTCTGAGACAGAGGTGGTTTATGATTCTGACTCAAATGAAAAGATTATTGAGCAAAATGATTGGGTAATTCATTCTAATCCTGAATTTGACCAAAATGCTAAAATTTATGCTTTAAAGAAGCAAATATCTAAGCTTGAGGTGGAGTTAAAATCTGAAAATAGATCCATGGAACAAGCTCAAAATGAATTTTCAATTAAAGTCAAAGAGCTTAATGATGAAATTTCTGAATTGAAGATGCGTTTGGTTTGCAAAGACAAATTGCATGAGTCCAACTTGCAAAAGATACAGGATCTCGAAAAGGATTTAAATTCCAGTTTTGATGAAAGAACCAAGCTCATGAGTCAAATCATGAAGCTTGAGAAAGTTATCAAACAACCTTTAAGTTTAGATTCTAAAAATTCAGAGATTCCTTTTGATGAAAGTATTTTTGAAGTAGGAGAGTCTTCAAGCTTAAATTCTAAAAATGATTTTTGGACTTCTCCGAAATCTGAAAAATCTGACAAGTCTAGGTGTTCAACTGTCAAATCTTCTGTGAATTCAAACTTTTTTTTTCTGTGAAAAAACCTCGAAGTTGCTGGCTATGAATGGTGGAAGAAAGATGACTTGCAGAAAGAAAGTGCTAATTCTTACAAAATCAATTCTTCTGCAAAGATTTCAAATATTAAGTCTAATAGTTGCAAATGGCTTTATTTTCAAAAAGAAAATGTAATCTGAATGCTGATTTGAAAAGTTCAAAACATTTTACTTATTCAGATTTACTCTCTTTAGCCACAAAACATTTACATTGCAACTATTGTGGTTATAATTCTTTTGCCATCAATACCAAATGCAAACAACAGATCAGATCTAAGAAGTTCAAATCCTTATCTGCTTCTTCTCTTAAATCTAAAGTTGCAAATGGTTCTTGTGTTCCAAAGAAAACTCTTTCAAAGAAAAAATTTTCAAAACAAAGAAGAATCATATTTTGTTGATGTGAAGTTCGTATGGGTTCCTAAGAAAAGGTATGAATGGCGCATTAAAACTATATCTACTAATGTTCTTGATGCTAACCCACAAGTTTCTAAGTGATTTTTGTACAGATTTCTAGATAAATCAGTCTAGAACTCGGCCTTCAATGTTGCAGACTTCTAGACAAATCAGTCTAGAACTCGAACTTTAGTGATTTAGCTTCTAAACAATTCAGTTTAGAACTTGTTCTTCTTTGTAATGACTTTTGCACAAGATAGTTCAGGACTCAAGCTACAATATCAGAAATACTGATGCTTATCCTCCACTTTGTACACAAGACAAGAGATCATCCTCTGATTATGTCAAGGGGGAGTCTCCAATGTTCTAATTTGTTTGTGTATGAGCTGAATTCTATGGGGAGCATCACAATTATCATTTCATTTCTGATCTGATGCTAACAGGTATAAATTTCTAATCTTACTCTTCGTATGCATAGAAGGACAACTTCTTTGTATATAAAATGTTTTCCTAAATGTTCAAACCACTTCTTCAATCTAAACGTTTTTCATTTCTAAGAAGTGTGAATTTTAAATGATTTTGTTTTTATTTCTTTTTGGAAACGAGTACTTTCTCTTAACATGTATTTCTTTAAGACTATACTTGTGTATTTTCTCTTTGTACATAATTCTAATATCTGATTCAACTATTCTTCATATTGTTATTATCACGTCTCTATAATAAAAAATCAATTTCGGTGATAATACACTCGTTTGTATTCAATATTGTTTTTTGAGCTTATCTGAAAAATAATTCTTTGTTTGTTTGATACACATTTCTTCATTCTTTAACTGTATAAATTTGTAAACTTGTTCTTACAGAACTTCGTTCATTTCTCCCGATATTTTTCTGAACAATATGTTTGTGTACATCACTCCTTAATATTTGATCATGTGATCAATTGTTATATTTTTCTTGATCAATTTTAATCTGATCAACTATGCATAATTGCAATATTATTTTTGATCAATCATTTGTGATCAAATGAGCTTAAAATGAATTTTTAGGAGGGACTGGGAGCTTAACAAAAATACCTCTATAGACTGTCAGAACCGACAACTCTACCCAAGAGGACATCCATATCTGAGTGAGCTCAAATGAAAATTGGGTTTGCGTGCAGAGCTTAAAATGTAAATAAGAGGGGTAGTTGAAGTGAGCTAAAAGAATTGATAAGAATTGTGTCCAAGATTAAAAGATTAAAAGAATCCTGATCTATCTACTATAATCTGGGAAAACCACATAATCTATTAGTTCTCAATTCTTTGAAGACTAATATTGAAAAATGAAAAGCTCATGCCAACTCTTGTCATAACCCACCAGCTACTTATTTATCTCTCAAAACATAAGTGTTTCATTAACACTTGGGGCTCGCAACTCATGATCTATCGGTTTCTCATTTGGAGATAACTGATATTGAAAAAGAAAGATATATGTCTCCCCTTCAAGTCTTATTGATCACAAATTTGAGTCTAATAAATTTGTGTAGTCCATACTGTTTATCTTTTTGAGCCTAAACTGAAGCATTAGTTGCTTTATCATTTCTCCACTACACAAATTTACAAAATATTTGTTATTTTGTCATAACATTCATAGATATGCTTTTCAAAGCTATCAATGATTGAATGGAAGTCCTAGTGAGATGAACATTAAAAAAGTCTCATATATGAAGTACAATCGTTGTACTGAATATATCTGTTATATTCCCAAGACAATCTTTCTAAAGATTGAAAACATGTTCATAAGTTGAATTTGGTTCTTTCCCTCACCTTCATAATCTGAAAAGATTATATAAGTGAATTTGAAAAGATTTGCTTAACTTTTTATGAATTGACGACATTCCTACAAGGATCATTCATTTCAGTGTATGATGTAAATGCTCCTCATTTTCATTATAAAGGGAGTTTATATTGAAAATGAATGAATTTTTCTGCGTCAATTTCTAAAGATCGGGGGAGGTCAAAGTTTCAAAGGAGTTGATCGATAATTGCTGATAATGGCTGAAGATTATTATGCTGCAAAATTCAAGGGGGAGTGAATGTAAAGATTCTTTCTGCAAAGAGTTTGCTATTTCTTAAAAGGGGAGATTATTCAAATTTTTAGGATTATCAATTTAAGGGGGAGTTAAAACTTTCTGATGCTGATCAAAGAGGGATATTATTTGAAGTTTGTTGTTAAAGAGGAAGATTGTTTTTGTGCTGAAAAATTATTTAGGGAGATTGTTGAAGAGCTAAAATTGTTAAAACGTTAAAGTTCAAATCTTGAAGAGTTAAAGTTTTTGAAGATTGTTGCTGTTTTGGACTTGAATCCAAAGGGGGAGATTGTTGGAACAAAAATGTTGTATTCAATTCCCTGTGCTTAAAATGTTTTAATATGCTTTGTATTGTAGTTTCTTTTTATAGAAGTTTAGTTTAGTTTCCTTTTATAGTAGTGGTATAAATAGTTCGTGGTAAGTTTTTATAGTTGATTATTAATCATAATTGAGAGTTATATTGAGATTGAGAGAAATTAGTGATCAAGAACTTGTACTTAGTGTTTGACATAATCAAGCTTGCCGACATATTGAAATCATTCTATGTTCTTGATCTTTGTATGAATTTATTGTTATGATTTGAATCTGGGATCACAAATACAAACCTAGAAACTTTCACTTTTAAAAATTATATATCGATAAAGAAGATCAATACAAATTTTACAGATTGTTTGCGGAATATAAAACTTATCTAAACAATCCAAGATATACACAAGATTACAAATAGCAATAAGAAAAGATTTACTACAAGAAATAAGATAAGAATAAATGTGCTCTTCACTTGTTAAAGGAGGTTTTTCTCTTAAACATAGAGTAGTGAGAGAAATAACTTCTTGGGTAAGTTCTTAGTGAGGAAGATGATAACTAAGAGGAAATAACTTCTTGGGTAAGTTCTTAGTGAGGAAGATGATAACTAANAACTTCTTGGGTAAGTTCTTAGTGAGGAAGATGATAACTAAGAGGAAATAACTTCTTGGGTAAGTTCTTAGTGAGGAAGATGATAACTAAGAGGAGAACCACTCAGCTATTTATACCCAATGCATTAAATGCAATTCAAAATCTACATAATATGTGTCGAGCTTTTGGATGAAAGCTTGTCCTTTGTTCAGATGTGGCAGGCTTATGGCCGTATGTGAACAATCTTCTTTCATAAAGTAGGTAAGCACATTTAGAGTCAAAGGAGTGGCTCCGTACTGTACTATACTTAGAAAGGTATGGGTTTGTGCTTTGTGTGTGGAAGGACAAGACAAAAACAATCTTGCTCGACAAGATTCATTTGATCACTGAATACTGGGATGAAGCTGAAAGGTCTCATCAGTGTTTGCTGAATCTTGCGCAGACTTCACACATATGTAGACGAGTTTGTTATAATTGAATACTGCTTCAGAATCACGAACTTGTTGGTCTCTAATATTCAGATTCTATCTTCGACATTGCTGATAAATATGTGATGTGTGTTTTGTCTTTTTGAAGTATAACAACATCTGAAAGATTTACAGTACACGTTCAGCGATCACTGAACAGACTCAATGAAGAACGCTGAAACTGAAGAAACAATATACCTCGATATATAAAAGGGATCATCATCAAATCAATGAGAGAGAGGATCAACAATCTCCCCCTATTTGATGATGACAAAGTAACATAAAAAAAATTGTTTAAGTTATAATAGCAAAGAATAGGTACAAATAGAATACTTGTCCCTTTCAACTATTTTAGGATCTTTTTCAGTGATACAGCTTACTTATGTAAATTTACTTAAGTTTGTAAAGAAATACAAGTTCAAAGATAAACTGAAATAAGTATGATAACTGAAACTGAAGGCATATTCACTGACTAGAGAGTTGTCATTGAATGTAAGAGAACTGGAACTTATGTATACTTGTCCTTATTATTTTTTTCAGGGATCTTTTTCAGTGACACTGAAGATTCCATTGTATATTAATCATTGGAAAATATTACAAGTCTTTCATCAGTATTTGGTAGACCTATTACATATAGATTATATACTGAAAGTAAAGAAAGGAAAAACAAGATATTACAAGATAGAAGAATGTCTAATCTAAGTCACTGAAGTTGATATACCCTGGTACATCTTCTCCGAGCTTCTTGTGTCTTAGTATCTCCCTTCTGATCTTGTGATTCATCACCTCTCCAGCTAAGTCATTATCCACCCAAGACCTGAGATACTCCAAATGGTCTATGAAACAGAGGTGGAACTCGGATATTCACTGGAAACTGTATTTGTCATCATAGTTGATAAATATGAATCCATACTCAGGATTCACGTGTATATTGTTTGGTATGTAAGGACCCTTCGCTGGCAATGTCAGGTTCATCTTTGAAAGTTTCGGCTTTTTTCGATCTTTCAGTACCTCATCCAAGGAGAAATGTTTCTCGTGTTCATTCCTATGGGATGATCCATCTTCAGGATCTGAAAGGTGTCTTCTTCTTGAGAGTGGCTTCTCTGGAAAAAGAGGGACATCAAAAATCTTAGACACCTTCTTGAATAGCTCTTTTAGGATGTCTTCGATTATTGTCTTATGTTTTAACTTTGAGCGCTGAAAGGCTTGTTGAATCTGCAGCCATTCGTTGAAGTCGTACTGCCCAAGATAAGAAGGATACTCGGTGACAGCCTCTTGGTTCTCTCTGAATATGACCATAGAAATGAGAGGTCCACTATCTTTCATTCGTCCACTAATAGTGACGTTTGAGATCCTGTGGGGACTTACTTTTTCTTGATCCTTTCATTGCACCATCTCAGGTCATGGTCTTTCAACGTCAACGCTCTTTGATGTTCTCGTTTAGCTTGTGACAGCAGATCAACCCGAGCCTTGACCGGATCCTTTTTCTTCAGCTTCCCTTTGGCCAGAGCTTTGAAAGCTAAAGACTTGGCCAGCTTTAGGTTGTCCTCCATCTGTTGTCATCGAATGCACAACTCTTCTTCGGCCTTAAGGGATTCCTCACGTTCAACGTCAGTGAGGAAGATGAACTCACCACAACCAGAGGTATGGAGAGGGACTTTTACTCTAGTTTGGTCAAGTTGACTCCACAGCTAAGTCATCCTTTGGTCGTTGAGAGCTCCAGATGTTGGAATAACAGCTATCCTTTCATCTGATGGATCATAGGGGATCATTGGTGCATTGAGTAAAAGGGAAGAGGCATCATATTCACAAGAATATGGTACAAACCTGGAGCTCTGTGCAAACTTGGTAGGATCAATTTCCTTGAAGATGATGGACAAGTTGCCTTCTTCAGCTACTCCATTATCTTTGGCGGAGGAGTGCTAGTTTTTGGTGGTTCTCTCCCACTGGGAAGCTGATTCGCTTAGAGAGACACCCTTTCTAAGCCAGAGCCGATCTTTCATGGTATTTGATTGTAAATCGTCATCCTCTTCATCTTCATCATCGTCATCGTGTCCAAGATCTTTTCCAACGTCTGGTAGAAGAAGATCTTCATCATCTTCTTCATCATCATCACTTTCCTCATCACCAGCACTTAGTGTAGAGGTGATGGGAAGGTCTTCGTGCATAGCTGGAGCTATCACGACATCATCATCATCCTCAACGTTAGTAACATCTTCAGCTTCGTTGGATGTGATGGCATCCTCAGCATGAGGGATAAGAGAGATAGGTTCAACATCAAAGACATCAGGAGGATTGTTGGCATTCTCCATAACAATTTTCTGACGCTGGTTATTCTCCCCCTCTTTGTCATCAGCAAGACAAGAGGTGAGATCAAAAAGAAGCAGGGAGATGTCTTCAGCACATTGCTCGAGGTCAGAGATAGCCTCTGCTTTCATGAGGTTGAACTCGGCCACCCGGTCCAGTGTTTATCGATCAACTTCAGTGAAAGAGGACTCAAGGACCGGGGCCGGAAGCTGGAGGAGCGTGAGTATTTGATGAAACGTCTCACCATGCCTAGTGAGCTAAGCGTGTACTTCATCGGCCTTGCTGTTGAGAGCAGAGATGGCCTCAGTGTTGGCGCATACTTCAGTTTTCACCGTCTTCAGCATAACATTTACTTCATCTACCTCAGCTTTAACAGCAGAGAGGCCGTGATTAAGGTCTTCCTTCACGGGCATCGCTTTGTGGACCTTGTCCATCTTCTCTAGGACGGTGGCCACAACAGGTAGGAGAAGCTTTACATCCTCAACCATATCAAAGACATCTGTCTCCATGGTTGTGGGATCCGTTGCAAAAGGACCTTAAAAAGAAAGAAAAACTTGAGCATAAAGAAGCTCTAAGTTAGTAGATATGAAAGGGTAAGGTAAAGGTAAAAAGTACCTGAGGGGTTCTGAGTGACATCTAGTGGATTGACACTGGTGGTCTCACATGCGCCTTTATGAGGATAGGCTTCAAGGGTATGAGGCGCCTCGAGAGGAGCAACCTCATGTCCTAGGGTTGGTGCTTCATCAAAAGTGGGAACAATCACTGATGAATCATCAACACGTGTAGTCGAGACCATGGGAGAGGGAGAAGAAAGAATGGTTGAGAGATTTAGTAGGTGTTCAACAATGACAATGCTAATATTCTCACTTTTAGTGATTTGGGTCACTAAAGTGGTTGGGTGATTGGACACTTGTACGATAGTGTCTAAAGAGATCACTAAAGAGTTGGGGATGGGTAGAGAGAACGCCTCGGGGATAAGGCTTGTTTCTATGACTGAAACTTGTTGAGAGGTAATAGTCGAAAGTGTGGCTTGCCTCTTTTTGGCTTTCTTGGCCCTCAATGAAGGCTAAAATTAGCTTGAGAGTGTTTCTTTTTAGAGGATAAGGAGATGATGGTCGGGATAGACTGAGGAGGGTTTGCCTCAGTCCTAACCACCTGTGGAAGAAAATAAGTAGAAGAAGAAGTTGCCTCAGAAACCTCATGCTCTAAACCACTGGATATGCTTCACATCGATCTCTACAGGCCATCTTAACACAAAGCCACTTTGGAAAGAAGTACATCCTAGTACTTGTTGATGAATTTTCAAGATACACATGGCTTGAGTTTGTCAAGAAGAAATCAGAAGTTCCCAGACTCCTCATCACAGTGATGAAAAATCTCCAAGTCCTTCTACAACGCAAACTCATCAAAGTTATAAGCGACAATGGAACAGAGTTCAAGAATGTCAGAATTGATGAATATCTCATCAACGAAGGTATATCCCAAAAAATTTCAGCAGCCAGAACTCCACAACAAAATGGAGTCACTGAAAGAAGGAATAGAACTCTTGTAGAAGCAACAAGGATGATGCTTGCTTCATCAGAACTACCTATTTTCTTCTGGGTTGAAGCAATCTCTACTGCTTGCTTCACCCAGAACAGATCAATCATCAACATTAGGCATCAGAAGACTCCCTATGAACTCATCAATCAATGGCGTCCAAATGTCAAATACTTCCATATCTTTGGGTGAAAATGTTATGTACTCAACGATAGAGAATATCTTGAAAAATTTGACAAGAAGGCTGATGAGGGCATAATCCTAGGATACTCTCAAACCGCAAAGGCCTACAGAGTATTCATCAAGTGAACCAACATTGTCATAGAAAGCATTAATGTGTCCTTTGATGATGCATCACCAATGACTTCTGGACAACACAGTTCAGAACTCAGGCTAATTAAACGAGCCTCTGATTCATCTCTCCTCAAACCAAATGAATCAGAACTAGCTCAACTATTTGAAGACTTGTTTGAAGAAGATGCAGTCTCTGGACCGGTGACCAATGAAAAACTAACTTCTAGAGCTGATGAACTACATGAGATCTCCAACACTGAAGGTATAACTCTTTCTGAATCTCATGTTACTTCACCATCTACTTCTACTATGTCTCCAGAACCAGAGCAAGACTCTGGAGAGGATTTATTTGAGGGGGAGCAAGCAGTTCCATCTAACAACCCCATCAATGAAGAACTGCATCCTGTTGTTCAAGAATCCCAATCAAGAACTAAGTGGATAAAAGACCATCCTCATCACCAAATTATCGGTGATCCATCATTTGGTGTTAAAACAAGATCTACCACTACTAATGAATGCCTCTTCGCAAACTTCCTTAGCATGATCGAACCAAAGAAAATTTCTGAAGCCTTACAAGATTCAAACTGGATAGACGCAATGCAGGAAGAATTACTCCAGTTTGAGCAGAACAAAATTTGGTCCCTCATGCCGCTACCCAAAGGTAAAATCGTGATTGGGATGAAATGGGTCTTCAGAAATAAGAAAAACGAAGATGGCATAATTATTCGGAACAAAGCCAGGCTAGTAGCAAAGGGCTATTGCCAGGAAGAAAGAATAGACTATGATGAAACCTTCGCCCCCGTTGCTATGCTTGAAACCATCAAAATATTCTTAACCTATGCAGCACACAAGGGCTTCAAGGTTTATCAAATGGACGTCAAGTCTGCCTTTCTAAATGGCAAATTGCAAGAAGAAGTCTATGTTCAACAACCTCCTGGGTTTGAAGACTCCAAACATCCAGAGTATGTCTACTTTCTGGATTAAACTCTCTATGGTCTTAAACAAGCACCTAGGGCCTGGTATGAAACTCTCTTCACTTTTTTACAGCTAATGGATTTGAAAAATGTACCATTGACACAACTCTCTTTCTCAAAAGACACAAAGGTGATATTTTGCTTGTCCAAATATATGTGGACGATATTATATTTGGCTCAACTAACTCCAAATTTTGTGAAAAATTCTCAAACCTGATGAAAAGCAAATTTGAGATAAGTATGATGGGAGAACAAAGTTTCTTCCTGGGTCTTCAAATAAAACAAACTTTAGATGGAATTTTCATCACTCAGTCCAAATATTTTACTGACCTTCTATAGAAATATGATCTCTCAAATTCATCATCTATGAGAACTCCAATGGCCACATGAGTAAAGCTATTCTCTGATCCATCAGGCAAGGCTGTAGATGTAACAACCTATAGAGGCATGATTGGATCTCTCCTGTATCTCACAGCTAGTAGGCCAGATATAATGTTGGCTATGAGTCTTTATGCAAGATATCAAGCTAATCCTAAAGAATCTCATCTTTCTGCAGTCAAGAGGATCTTTAGATACCTGAAGGGCACCCCATCCTTGGGTCTCTGGTATCCAAAGAACTCTGGCTTTGAACTAATAGCCTATACAGATGCAAATCATGCAGGTTGCAAGATTGATATAAAGAGTATGTCTGGGAGCTGTCAACTTTTGGGAGACAAGCTAGTTAGGTGGACATCCAGAAAACAAAAATGTGTCTCAACATCTAAGCAGAAGCATAATATGTTACTGCTACTAGTTGTTCTTCACAAGTGCTCTGGATGAAAACCCAACTAAAGGATTACGGGTTCCATTATGAGAAAACTCCATCCCCTGTGACTCCAAAAGTCCAATATCCATCTCTGCAAATCCAGTGCAGCACTCCAAGACAAAACACATTGATGTCAGGTACCATTTTCTCAAAGACCATGTAGAAAAGGAAACCATAGAGATGTATTTTGTTCCCATAGATATTCAACTTGATGATCTTTTTACAAAAGCATTAGATGAGAAAAGATTTCTTTTTTTTCTTGTCAGCAAGATGGGTATGCTGAATCTCACCACTTAAGACAGGTCATCCATCAAACCAAAGATTTTCCATATCTCTAGGTTTTGCCAAAAGTGATATAGTAATGGCCCTCATTACCAAGTCTTCTAAACCAGAGCCTCTGGTTCTATAGACCAGAGCCTCTGGAAAATTGGAAACACTTATATTTTATTTGGCCTCATATTTTATTCTTTAAGACCAGAGCTCCTCTGGTCCAAAGAAGGTTTTCTCGTTTTTACACCAAGTACCTCTCATCGACCAAAGCCTCTGGTTCTTAAGAACAGAGCCTCTGGATTCAATGTCTTAAGGACCAGAGCTCCTTTAGTCCCACTTGGTCTCCAATTTTTCATTTCTTCGTGTAGTACACTTACATTCTTCACCATTTTTTGCAACCAGAGCTTCTGTTTCTCTAAAGAAGATCCTCATGTTTGTGGTGTGGCAATTCTTCTTTTTGAACTTTATATAGTGTAGAGGAAGGAAGACAGGTGGCCAAGACCAGGTCTCTCACATCGCTCTTAGCATCGGCATCTCTGTTGTTCACCAGTTGAAGGTCAACTACCCTGAGTTGATCTTTGAAGACCTTGTGTTGAAGCTGAATAAGCGCCAGCACGAGAAGGTGGTTTTATACACCAGGTTCTTATGCATGGTGTTCGCCACGATATTCGGCAACAAGTACCCGATCGAAGGAAACATGCCTATTTGTAGGCTTGGTTCTCCTATTCTGGACCACAAGTCTAAACCTACAAATATTGGCCTCTTTGCACCAATGTTGGCCATTGCCAATAGCATTTCTCAAGTAATTATGACTGAGGAAGACCCCCCTTAGTCTATCCCAACCACCATATCCTTATTCTCAAAGAGGACACAATCTCAAGCCAGTCTTGGTCCTTCATTGAGGGCCAAGAAAGCAAAAAGGGGCTAGCCAAATCGCTGACTGTTACCTCTCAACAGGTTTCAGTCATTGAGACAAGCCTTATCCAAGTCACCTAACCGCCTCCTAGCTACCCCCTCCTAGCTCTTCAATGATCTCGTTAAACATTATCATACAAGTGGCAAGTCACTCAACCACCTCAGTGACCTAAATCATTGAAGATGAGAATATAAGCATCACCACAATTAAACTATCACTTCCTTTCTCTGCCATTCTCTCTTATCCCTATCCCTTGGTCTAGATCACATGTGCTGATGACTCATCAGTGGTTATCCCCACTGTTGATGAAGCACTCACCATAGGACCAGAGGT